GAATCTATAAAAAATCCAATTCCATTATATACTAACAATTATCTTTCTACTTTATTTTTAAAGGTATTTTAGAAAAGCAATTGCTCTAATATAAGTTAAAGATTTTTGAAAAGCTAAAAATTGGATTATTCCTCTGATTTTTCATTACTCAGGAGGAACTAATTGCCCAAGGATAACTAGCCAAGGTAAAAACAATCAAAAACCTCTTAAAGTGACCAAAATCTTATGATCAAAAAGTAAAAAGAAATCCAAATAAAATTGAAGTCTTTATATTTTGTTTTCACCACATAGTTTAGCTATATTTTAAAGGCATTATTAATTTTCTCAAGGGCCTCTATTTATTCTTTCATGCTCAAATCACCCTACATTGAAACATTTATCATATAATCAGTCTTGCTGATTTTCTCTCTTTGAACCGATATTGTCATAAAGCTAGTAGATCCTCTTTGTCAGTGATTATGTATGAGATTCAACGAGCACTCTTGCTCACTTGCTTTGACTCATCACATTAAAATATCTCATCTCTTGTGAGATCTGCAGACTTGTTTATTGACTTACATTACATTTGCTTTGTATATCTGACAAAAATATCATTGATAATAAAGAAGAAACTGTAATGTTAAACTGGAAGTATTGTTTAACAAAAACAAATTTTATAAATGGTCGTTTCATTAAGAAATGATGTAATTTTGCAAAATCCAAATTGGTAAATGCAGAGAAAACAGAAATTAGAAATTTTTTAGAGAAATTGGTCATAAATTAATGAGACATTTTCATATGCCTTATTACCAATGTTCTATTTATTACAGTATGTCATATACATTTTTTTATTGTAGTAAAGACAGAGAATAAAGTAAGAAAACTAAATGGAGAAAAATACAGAAGAAGAGATAAAAGTATACTCAAGAACATGGATTCTTAAGTGAAACAGACTTGGGTTTAAATCTTAGATTCTACAGTTACTAGCTGTGTTCCCATGGAAAAGAAAGTTGTTTCCTCTCTAAGGAACCATTTATTTGAATGTGAAATAAAAAGGTAATAGTATATATCTCATAGATTTGTTGTAATAATGCAGATAATTATGTAAATCAGCACAAATATGAACAAATGGTAAGCACTCAATAACAGATATTATTATTTATGAGAAGAAATAAAACAATTAGCATAAAAGGAATAAAGGCTTTGCTTCTTTAGTGCTATGGTTTTAATGTGTCCTCAAAATTCATGTGCTAATTTAACCCCCAATTCAATAGTATTAAAAGGTAGAGACTTTAGGAAGTTATTAAGTCATGAGGGCCCTCTCCTCACGAATAAAGTTAGTGCCTTCTGAAAGTGTGAGAGGGCGTTATTAATAGCTAGGCCCCTTTGTGCTCTTTTACCTTCCGCCAGTCAGGGCATAACATGCACCCCTTTTATCATGTGAGGACACGGCAACAAGGTGCCATCTTAGAAGCAACAAGTAGCCCTCACCAGACACAGGATCTGCTGGCACCTTGATGTTGGACTTCTCAGCCTCCAGAATTTTAAGAAATACATGTTTGTTCTTTAATATTTAACCCCTCTCAGGAATTTTATCATAGCAGCACAAATAGACTAAGACATTCAGGTTTTCTAAAAATTGCTATTAAGATGTTGGTTTGAAAAGTTCAGCTACTTTAAAGTTTTTGCATACCTCATTAATTTAATTCAAATTCATATAGTAACTGGGATACCTCATATAATTTATTTCAAATTCATATAGTAACTGGCATATAGTAACCATAAAATTTATAAAGTCCTGGCATATAGCAACCATAAAAATTGTGTCTACAAAGGCAATTATAACAAATCAAAATTTATTAAAAACATATTTACACTTGAAATTAGCCTTCTAGTGGGTATAGAGAATAATTAACATGAATGGAAAATTTCATCTATATATGTGAAATATGGATGAAATTATTGTTTAGTGTTGAGCTCTGCCAGTAGTTAGGAAATGCTTTAAATGCTTTAATGCCTGAGTTTCTTGATCTAGGCAATGTGAGTCTAGGACAATCCCCAAAATAATATGATTCTACCAATCATATATTTAAATTTACTTTCATTGCAAATTAATGAGAAGGAATCTGAGGCACTGGTTCTAATTTAATTTGATCACCACATATAAACACTATCACTATGCTAGATTCTTTAATTATAGAAGTTTAGGCTGTTTTAATTTCTACTGAAACCTCTCTCTTTGCTTCACATCTAAAGACAGATGGCTCAGTAGGAACCTTGTAATACCTTTGTTGTTGTTGCTACTGTCTATGTGTCTGTCATCAAAAAGATTCTGGTTCTCAGAGTTATAGATGAAGAACACCCATGTCATCCCATAGCACAGCTGTGGGCTTAATTCAAACCTGACTTAAGCCTGGAGTCCCTACACCCAATAAAGTAACAACTGCCCTGTGGGAGACCCCCAACATTTAAAATAGTGATTTGGAACTCTCTGGAGGAAGATACTTGTAAATATGGACAGAGTAGAGAAGATGGTCCTTCTTCCTGAAGTGTATCTTATAACTCCACCCCCCCAACAACAACAACAACAATAAACACGAGGATACAGGGAGAAGAAACAAAAATTGACATAAAGATCCACAACTGGACTCATTGAAAATATAAAATTTTCTAAAATAGTTATTCAACAGAAAGATAAAAGAACATGAATTGGATTTCACATCTCTACAATACAGGTTTTAAATTAACATATTCTGTCTGATATGTAGTACTTAAAAAATCTTTGTGGCCTTAATAGATACCAGGCCTCAAATTACAGCTATATGAGGAGAAAACACTGAATGTACAACGTGTCTTCTGTACTTTAGAGGAGTTACCAAACATAAAACAGAAGGCAAACATGTACGTCTCACCTTAAACATTGAAACTATTGCTTTGCCTAAATTCCTCATGGTCAGAGTGCCCATTGGCCTAAAGCATCTGATATGGACATTTTGAACCAATTAGTAATAAATTAATATTAATTATCTGGCATTTACAATTAGCTTGGCAAAATGGAGCCGCTTAGACCTGTCCTTCTGATTATAATAGTTAATACAGCCCAACTTAGATTAAAACAAGGTCTACAGTAATTAAGAACCATCAAATAACACCTACTGAAGGAAACAACTATTGTTCCTACTGCCATCACTTTAAATAGTCCAACTTGTTCACTGTTTAAATCTGATAAAAATAAATGGCATGGGAAAGTGGATTACCACAGCCTAAATACCCTGATGCCCCTGATTAAGACTTGCATATCAATATTACTGAAGTTGCTGGTTCCTATCAATAACTGGAAAATATTTTGCTATTATAGGTTTAGTGAATACGTTCCATTCAGTGTTTATTTCAACAGCTTCCCAAGCATAGTTTGTTTTCACTTTTGAAGTGATACAATATACATGGGTATCTCAACAGCCCTTGTGTGACATTGCACACAAACTTTGCATGCAAGATATTAACTACACCTGATTTTCTCCAGGAATGCATATATGCCATTACTTTGAAGGCAACAGATTCATTTGACCCCTTCATCCAGCAAATGCAAACCAAAAGGAGCCCAGAAAAAAAGGAAGATCATCTCACCACACACCATACAAGGCCCTGCCTTCTCAGTTAATTTTCTGGTAATTATTTGGTCAGCAAAAGCATATATACTCTGTCCAAATTGCAATACAAAAGGCCCTCCCACTAGTATCCCCAAGTTTCCTTTGCTGCAGAGGCTTCAGTAACCTCCTCTCATGATATTTAGAATCTGTGAACACACAGTCTAAACAATTTTTCTTTTGAGACAGGATCTCACTCTGTCACCCAGGCTGGAGTGCAGTGGCACTTTCAGAGTTCACTGCATCCTTGACTTTCTGGGCTCAGGTGATCCTCTCATCTCAGCCTCCTGAGTATCAGGGACTCCAGGCATGCACCACCACACCTGACTAATTTTTGTATTTTTTTGTAGAGACAGGGTTTTTGCCATGTTTCCCAGGCTGATCTCAAACTCCTGGGCTCAAGCGATCCACTCGTCTCAGCCTCCAAAAGTGCTAGTTCTTCTTAATAAAAATAAACAACCATAATTTCCAATGGTTGTGTATTATTGTTGGTTAAATACTACTTATTCTACAAATAAGCATTAATGTGTATAATTTTAAGACTTTTAAACACATTTTTCAAAAATTTCTTCAAGTGAATAATTTTATTATAATGGATAATCTCCAAAGTGCCATGTATTTTTTTTTTTTTTTTTTTTGAGACGGAGTCTCGCTCTGTCGCCCAGGCTGGAGTTTTTTTTTTTTTTTTTTTTTCACTGCAAGCTCCGCCTCCCGGGTTCATGCCATTCTCCTGCCTCAGCCTCCTGAGTAGCTGGGACTACAGGCGCCCGCCACCGCGCCCGGCTATTTTTTTGTATTTTTAGTAGAGATGGGGTTTCACCGTGGTCTCGATCTCCTGACCTTGTGATCCGCCCGCCTCGGCCTCCCAAAGTGCTGGGATTACAGGCGTGAGCCACCGCGCCCGGCCAAAGTGCCATCTATTTTTAACATATCAAGAGAACAAATCAGTTATTGAGACTCCCTGTAACAGTGCAAGAACCCATAAAGAATCAGTATGCCTTTTGAAAACCAATTTTGCTATTAATATGTGTTATATCGACAAAATAAAATTGCATCCATTCTATTTTTAATTTTAATTACAGCTATAAATCATCATTGTTCTCAAAATTCTGTTAAATTACATTTATTAGTGCTGACTTCCTCTGACCTCTCTTTCCACTGCCAGTTAATGTAGTACCTTGATAAGCCAACTTATCCTAAAGTCATTAGTGTACACTCTAGCCACAATACTACTATAATCCTTTAATCTGAAAGGCAGTCCAAATGTTTAAAACCTTACATGGTTTTATTAATTACAAAACATACAAAAATACTTATATACTCATAAATACTTTCAGATAACTAATGATTTTTAAATATTGAGAATATACTTACTTGTACAGTTAGGCAAAGTTCCAGACCATGTTCCATTGGCTGTGCACTGTCTAACTGAAGGTCCAGAAAGGATGTATCCCTCCATGCAGGAATAAATGACTGAACTGGGAAATGCTGTGCCATCAATTCGGAAGACTTTCCCATTGGCTGTGGTTCCTGGGTTACCACACTGCACAGCTATAAAACAAAGTGTTTAAGAGTATATATAAAAATAATGCAATTAGAAATTCTTCCCAAAAAAGGTAATGACTAAACTATTATCTCAAATTATTCAAAGAAACAATAAAAACCTCTAAAATAAGCAGTAAAGTATCTAGGTAGTTGAAATTCAAGATGAATGTGTGTTAATTTTATTAGCTTAATTACTGGGATGCAAATTATAACATTTTCTTAAGATTTTTTTAGCAGCTTCAGTAAAAACTCTATGGAGTAAAATAATTATTCAAGGAGTACTGTATTGACTTCAGGTATCACAAAATCTTTTAGAGAAGGATTATAAGAATCTCTGCCTAAGGAGCAACTCATGTAAAACTGGAAGACATGTAACAATGAGTGGTGAGATGCAACAGAGATTTATTACATTGACATTTCAGAAAAGACAGATACATAATTTTAATATTATAAGCATCCATGTATATTTTTGTTTATATAAGTACATAACTGTTTTGAATTAAAATGTATACATTTTATTTCTAGACTAGAGTACCAAAACCAAACTGAGTAAAAACAAAGTAATGAAATTTTAGTAATCGTTTTCATTGTTTCAATATATTATAAATAAAAGGTACAAACACAAATGTCTTTTTGATTAACTTTTTATATATATGTTTACCTATTTGTCAACAATGATATGTTAATTTTAAACTATCTATCTTAAAAGCAACAATATATAAATGTAATGCTTAATTTTATTGTAATATCAGAATGCATTTTAGTAGCTTACAGAAGTGAAGGCTTTTATGAATATGAAATACGATTATAATTTCAGAAAATGCCATCTACATTCCTTGCTGCATCTTAAATATTTCTATTTGCCTATCATTTGTATAACTGCTATGTGTGTGTGTGCGCACGCGTGTGTGTGTGTATGCATGTGTAGGCAAGAACCTTACTCATTTTACATAAAAATCAAACTCTAGATAATATTTTAAGCAGAACCTATGATAATAGCAGACATTTTTACTTCGTTGTTCAGCATAATTACTTTCTTCTAAATGCATTAGTGCCTGCCTAAAATAAAATTTTGGTCATATTTACTTGTTATATATCATGATCCATATGCAGCTTGACACAATACAAGAAGGATTTGAGATAATATCATCTTTGTTTTAAAATGTCATGTAATTTTTATTTTGAAATAGAGACCTAGGCAGGGTCAAATTTCCACACAATAAAAATCAAGAATTTCTTTAATCAGGCTGGTTTCAAGATATAGCCAAATCATACTGTTGTTTCTGTTCTCTTGACTTTAATTCCTCCACACCTAATACATAAATTTCATCTATCCAGATCTGTTTTTTTTTTTTTTTTTTTGAGACAGAGTCTCACTCTGTGGCCCAGGCTGGAGTGCAGTGGTGCGATCTTGGCTCACTGCAACCTCCGCCTCCCGGGTTCACGCCATTCTCCTGCCTCAGCCTCCGAGTAGCTGGGACTACAGGCGCCCGCCACCTCGCCCGACTGATTTTTTGTATTTTTAGTAGAGACGGGTTTTCACCGTGTTAGCCAGGATGATCTCGATCTCCTGACCTCGTGATCCGCCCGCCTCAGCCTCCCAAAGTGCTGGGATTACAGGTTTGAGCCACCGCTCCAGGCCAGACATTTCATTTGAACTAAGCACAAGTAAAATTAACTTAAAATGAAACAAGGTAAGCGTGTCATCTATGATGAGTGAATGCTTAAAGCCCAGTGGATACAATGAAAAGAAACAACAACTACCTTGCCTCTGCAATATTGACATTTAGGAGAAAAAGGATTTATTGTTGCCTGTGAATAAACCTGTATTTACATTTAGTACTAGTCAACCAAATCATCTCTTCTCACAAGAGTCATTTTTCAGCAGTCAACAGACATAAACTAATACAAAAGAGAGTTACCATTTTTTTTTTTTAGATTCATTAAGCACTTAATATGTCACAGCCACAACTTTTCCAAAATTATGTACTTGTCACAAAAATGCTCTGAGTTAGTGTTAACATCACCACCATTTCTTAATAGTAAACTGAGGCACAGAAAGATTAAGTAACTTGCCCAATCTCACAAAGTTAGTTAATAGCAGATTGTTCATCTAGTACAAGTTCCTAGGAATTATGCTGATAGCATATAATAAAAGCATTGAATCATATTCAGGCTAGGAAATAAGCTGAAACATAACACATGTTTGTTAATTGAATATTTTTTGTGATGCATCTTTATAGGAAGTATATATGTTTGCTTTTCTTTTGTTGCTAGAGAGAACTCTTATTTTAAAAATCATGGTACCATTTGTTTTCTTGTATCAAAGTAGTAAGTAGTCATTTCTAAAATGATAAAACAAAAAGTATAAGGAAGAAAGTAAAGATTGCTTAAAAGTCCACCACCAAAAAATAGAAACTGATATCTATATATGCATATATGTATATATGATTATGTTTTAATATGAATATAATTATTTCAATATTCTAGGCTTTGTGTTAGGTATAGAATATACAACAGTGAAATATTAATTTCACTACCCTTTTTAAATTCTATTTTTCTTACTTAAAATTACAATTAAGGTATCTTTCTATCATAAAGTTTAGTAACTGTATGGTTTTCCATACAGTTCATAATTTATCTAACCAATTCCCTGTTGAAAAACATTTAGTTTGGCTTGGTTTTATTTTTCTATGATTTTTGGATATAATATACTTGAACTTATATATATCTCTGTATATTAGTTCTATTTTTAAGATAAATATCTACAATAATTTCTGGATCATTTTGAGTAGCGTAACTGTCATTAACAACAGTGTATTGTACATTTCAAAATAGCTAGAAGTGAGGACCTGAAATATTATCAACACATAGAAATAATAAATGCTTGTGGTGATGGATATCATAAATATTCTGATTTGATCATTACACATTTATGCATGTAACAAAATATCACACATGCCCCATTAATATGTAAAAATATGTATCAATAAAAAACCCTAAAACATTAAAAATTTAAATTGTTTGAAATATATTGCCATAGAATCACTCAAGATATTATCACAATACACACTTGCATTGATAGCATAAGACTTTGCTTGTGTTCACACCTTCTCTGTAACATCATTTGCCATCATTTAAAAGAATCTGTCAAAAATGTTACTTTCTTCAAATTTGCATTTCTCTATTAATTAAATTAAGTCACTTAAACACATCATTTAATATTTTTATTTTTACATGTGGTTTATCCTTCACATTCTGAAAAACTTTGAAGTTTTATTATAAAGTATTAAAGTAATATAACAACAGTAGAAAACCTTTGGAATAAAAAGTAAAAATACCAATAATTTCACAAATGTGTCCTAGTATTATTTTTGTGTATTTCCTTTCATACTTTCTCCTCATCATCATTTCTCATGGTTCTAATAGAGTACATAATTTTAAATCTTATTTCTAAGTTTTATATAATGTACATTTTCTCATATTGCTTCATGGCCTATATTGTAATATATTATTGACTATGCACTATTAGATTATGTAAACATAAAATTGCTTAAGCAATACTTTTCCTAGTGTAAGATTGTTCCAAATTATTGCTACTCATAAATAGAAATAAAAATTACATTTTCATAATTTTGTATTTTGTTCCAAATTATTGCCACTCATAAATAGAAATAAAAAATATATTTTCATAATTTTGTGTTCTCTTTAATATTTCTATTTTTGTTAGAAAACATTCCACAAAAGTCAAGTAATAAACTGAAGCTACAGATACATCCCATGAATATTTATCATTCTATTCATTATCATTTTGAGAGCAATTTTTATCAAATTGCTCTCCAAATACAACAATATAAATCATTTTGAAATTTTTTAAAGTTCTAGTTTTGCTGGTTCTATACCTGCACACAAGAACTTTATATCAGCATATTTAAAATAGGTAAAAAATGATACTTTAATATTTAATCATATTTTTTATTAGTAGTTCTGTTGAATTTTTTCTGTAGGTTACAGTTTTTTTTTTATTTCTGCTTTCTGTTCATATTCTTTGTCCATTTGTCTACTAAAGTCTGTTTTTGTAAGTGATTTGTATGAGCTTCATTTGTGAGAAAAATATTAATTCTATCATACTTGCTACAACTCATAGTTCTCCTTTTATCCATAATATGCATGCTAACAAAGCAGTATCAGCACCAGTCTGCATTTCGTCTATAAAATATTTTGTAGGTCAGCTGAACAAAGGACTGACTTAGATGTCACCCACACAATGTTGCATGTATAATGATGCCCACAGCATCATTAAAAAGACTTTGACTTTGGAAAATAAGTTTGAGAAATAAACAGTTTAGTCTGCCTTACTGTATTTTACTCAGCACTGTTTTCCAGCTCGTTTCCCTATATCAACTAAGTTGCAACTCTTTCTTAAGATTATTAAAACTGACCCAGTTAAAAAAAAAAACTGTATTTTCTAGAATATAAATATTAAACATAATTAAAAATATTAAAAAAAAAAAGTCAATCAAAAAACCCTCAGGAAAGTTTGATTGAGAATTGTCTTCTGTTTGCAAAACCAATATGTTTGGTACAACATCAAGTAAGTTTAAAAATATTTTGCAAGTTTAGTTTTTCCAATAAAATAATCACAAAAAGAACAGTTAAAGTCAATAAGATAATTTTCCACCAAGATTTTATTTACTAGTCAATTTTGTAAAATATTTTTCTTTTTCCATTTTATCTTTGTTTCTTTTTTCTTTTTTTTTCTTTTCTTTTTTTTTGGAAACAGAGTCTCGTTCTGTCACCTAGGCTAGAGTGCAGTGGCATAATCATTGTTCACTGCGGCCTCTGACTCCTGGACTCAGTGATCCTCCTGCCTTAGCATCTGGAGTAGCTAGGACTACAGGCATATGCCACCACACCGGGTTAATTTTTAAAATTTTTGTAGAGATGTGGTCTCAGGCTGGGTCCCACCCAGGCTGGTTCAAACTCTTGGCCTTAAGTGATCCTCCTGCCCCAGTGTCCCAAATTGTTGGGATTACAGGCTTGAGCCACAACTGGCTCTCTTATAAAGATTTAATTATGTTAACTCTGAGTCAGAACAATTAAAACGTTACTCAAACACCCTAGATGTTGTGAATTCTAGTAACTAACAATTGTCCTCTACAATTAAAAATCTTAATCATATTTCTGTATGTTTCTATAGTTTTCCATTTCTACATACTGGAAGCTAAGACAGACATTGAGATTATATTAGGGTAAGAACAACTCATTATTTTCTCTTGTCTCTACAACATAGGTACACTAGTCTCCCCTTATCCACTATTCTTTCCAAAGTTTCACTTAGCCATGGTCAATCATGGTTTAAAAATATATGGAAATTTCCAGAAATAATCAATCTATATATTTTAAGTTCTAAATAGCATGATGAAATCATATCTTCCCACATGGAAAGTGAATCATTCCTTGTCCAAGGTACCCACACTGTATATGATATCCACTTGTCAGTCACCTAATATCTGCCTTGGTTATCAGATCAAAAGATCACAAGAAGGGTGAGCACAGTCCAACAAGATATTTTGAGTGAGAGACCATATTCACGTAACTCTTATTTAGTATATTGCTATAATTGTTTTATTTTAGTATTATAGTTGTTAATCTCCCACTGTGCCTAATTTATAAATAAAACTTTATTACAGGTATATGTGAAAAATCATAGAAATACAGGATTCGGTAGTATCTGTGGTTTCAGGCACCCACTAAAAGTCTTGGAACGTATTCTCCACGGATGAGGGACTACTGTAAAAAGGAAAGAATAAATCTTTTTAACAAATACATATATTGTTTTTTAAATCTACACATTTGCTATGTTTTGAAAAATGTTCGCATATATATGACCAATGAGGGTTTTCTTTTTAATTATCAGTCATAATTATCTTACGAGATGGTGTCAGTATAACGGGAATACAACAGTTTTATTTCATAGTTGCAGGCAGAAAAAACTAGTAAGAGTAATTTTCCTAGTTGTACTCATTTGGATTTAGATACACACTAAAATCCAGTAGTTCCAAGATATTTAATTTCTGCTTGAGATTACCTTTGCATTCTGGCTGCCTTCCGGTCCAACTGCCATTAGCTAAACATTTTCTTTCTTCTGAGCCATGAAGGATATAACCAGTATCACAAGCGAAGCGTACAGTACTTTTAGTTCTGAAATCACTTTCCTGTCTAGAGCCATGGCCGGGAGTGCCTGGATCGCCACATGTCCCAGTAGCATCACCTGCAATGCAGTACGGTTCAAGATAACCAATTTCCATAAACATGTATTAAGTTTATCAGTTAGGCCAAGGGCCTGGGAGGCATTTGTTTTTGTGCATGCTGGGTTTCAGCATACATGGAGTAAAATTATAATTCATATTTCTTATCTGACTCCAGTCATTAAAAAAAGTGTAAGTGAAAAAGAAAATAGTTGCAGAGCATAGTGCTTTTTTTTTTTTAACAGTGAGTTTGGAGACGTTAAATAGGTTAAGGATATTTCATTTTTTTTTTTTTAATCCAGTTAATGACCAAGCTAATGGAAAATGTATAACTGACAGTATGATGAACTCAAATGACAACAGATTTATAAAACTAAAATCTAAAAAAAAAAAAAAAAAAAAAAAAAAAACAATTCAGCAATTTGCATGTTTCCTTTAAAAAAAAAAAAAAAAAAAAAAAAAAAATTGTTGTTTTTGTTAAAGTAGAACTGTGGTGTGCTAGGACATGTAAATATTACAATACAGTTCTGATAGTCTAGGATTTCTCTCTTATTTTCTCTACCAATGACCAATGATCAAAGATGAATGAATGCATATTCCTCGTATATGAAAACATGTAAATAAAATATAAATGACCAAAATTTAGAAACTCTGACTTAAGTTTCTGACAAGAATTTTGCTCATGACTAGGCATTCATCTTTTGATTTTAGTGTTAAAGATTTACTCAGTCTTTACCTAGTCGTTTTATCATTTCTTAAATAATCCTAATCAAAATTGCCATAGTGTCAATATACACTGAGAGAGAGAGAGTGAGAGAGGAAAAGAGTGAGAGAGAGAGGAAAAAAAAAAGATAGAGAGAGAAGGGTTGAAATATAAGCATTGAAATTGTTCTTTCCCTTTTTCTTTTTTATTTGCCTTGTGTGTTTGGAATCCTTCATTATATGTTCTTATTTTCATGTGATGTAAAATTAGTAACTACACAACATTTTAAAATTAGTATTTCACTTTCAAATATCTGTGTACAATTTTATTTCTCAATTTAGTAGCAGTTTCCTAATACATGGTGGGGTGGGGACGGGGGATAAGTCTGTGTGTTCACATGTATAAGCAGTTATCTGAGAGTTAATTTTCTATGAGTCACTCCAAGATAAGACGTTAATTCTCATAAAATCATTTTTATAGTTACATTAAAAATGATAGTTTTTCTAAATCTGTAGATTACATTTAAAGTCCCAGGAAGTCACTTCATAGGGATTAATCACTAGTTAAAAGATTTGGGGTTAATTTACCATTTCACTGCTCTTTTAATTCTAAAGTGAAAATAATGTAAAACAACTCCTAATAAGTCACCGGAATGATATCTACAGAGATAAAATAGAGTAAAGACAATAGACAATATGTAAATATAAAGAAGAGGCAGAAAAATAAGCACAATATCTGGTTGATGGGTAAAAATAAGTAGTATCAACTAGGGAGCCATCATAGATCCAAAATGTAAATGATATTTTTGAAAAAAAGTGGTAACTTAAATGTTTATCTCAGAAAAGATTTGTCAAATACTCTGTGAACAAATTATTAATTAAAATATCTTTAATATTTATGCAAAGATAACTATTGAGGTTATAAGGATTCAAAAGATATATGTCACTTATTAATACTAGATAAATATCTTTAATAAAATGAATTAGATTAATTCAATTTAAAACATTTTGAACTTTATTTTAAAATCATACCATTAAAGTAATCAATTGCTTAGAAAGTTAAACAGAAATGAACTCTGACAGAAAATCACTGATACAATATTGCCTTCTGGGGAAAATTACATGTGGTATCTGCTAAAATGGGATAGATACTTTAGCTTGAATAGTTTCACCATTTTAAGGAACGAAAACGCTTCATACAGTGTAGCATCCTAAAACCATAAATCCTTGAAATTAGCAACACAGTTCAAAACACATACTTGAAATTTATCATCTACAACATCAGTACCCCGCATTTATATAGCCTTACACATATTACAGTAATGTATAAACAGTGTTTCAGCTTTTTAAATGAGATTTTTCAGAGAGAAATGTATTTTAAGTCTTTAGATTGTTTTGTGTATATGTTACTACTACTACTAACAATAATGTAATTTCCAACACACATTGTCCAATTTTCCAAGTGGTACCTGAACAATGAGGTTGTGATCCACTCCAATGGCCATTCAATTGGCAGGTTCTTGATGACTGGCCTAGAAGGGAACGCTTTCCTGTGCAGGAATAGTGAACAGTAGACCCAAAAGTATACTTCTCGCCAGACAGGACTGCATTAGGAGGAACGCCAGGGTGTCCACAGTCAATCACTACAATACATAATTATTGAATATAAAATTTTTTTATATCTCCTATCGAACAACCTATACCAGCATGTTTATACAATAAATCAGAAGTAAATGTTCTGCTCAAACATCTAAAGCCTCCAGAAATCAAACATCTATGTTGAAGGCGGCTTTTTAAAAATAAAGTGGGGTTTGCAGCTATAGAAGCCGTTCTGTTAACTTACTCTTTTGCGGATGAGTTTAACAGCAACTTTATAAGCTAAGTAATGATTGAGTGATTATGATAAATCTGTACATGTAAGAGTGATGAGTATGTGTTCACATATATATGTGTATGAATTCTAACTGTATCTGTGCCTGATAAAATATGTACAAGTCAAGGAGAAGATTAATATGAATTCGCTAAGTAAGGACATAGGACACCATGTGGATTCAAAGTGAAGCCATACAGAAATTACATGAAAAAAACTTTGAGGGTTAAAGAGATTGATCTGTGATTCACTATTTAATATATAGTCTAGAATCATTACAAGTCAGTAATGAATAAATTATGCTGTATAAAGACAATATTCAGTGGCTTATAAACTAAAACACTGCTAGGCATAGCAGAATTAAAAGTCAATACATGAAAGAGTATTATTTATGAGTGATAGATAGTTTCAGAATTTAACGTATGTCCCCTGTTAGTTGTACTCAGAAAAATACTGAGTGTCACATATCTCTAGAGTATCAAACAGCACGTGAGGACATAAAAACTTAATAAAACCTTTCAGTATATAATACTGTACCACTAAGAGCTACAGGAAATGATAAAGCAAAAAGCATATGAGAGCTCAGAACACTTGAAGAACTTCAGGTTTACATGTCCTATGAAAATATTTTTAACTTTAATGTGGTAGCTACATAAGAATAAGTAAGTAAATTATTCAAATAATTAGACCAGTCAACACAAATAAGTCAAATGAATTTTAACCAGCAGGCCAAATTACTGAACTATATGCATAGAATCTGAAATTTTATAGACACAGCAAAAAGTGTTGTTTCTTCTTTAGTACATGAATGCTGTCACAAAATGTTCATAAAAGTCCACCCATGAACATAAAAAATCCTCTAAATGAAACATAATTGTAAAATTTTATAATTTAGCAATTTACCAAAACCAAAAATTACTTGCCAAAAATGAATGGTTTCTTCACACGCTATTCATTCAGTCTATGAAATTGTTCTTCTCTTCCCTGTCAAGTCCAAGACTCACCAACCATTTGAGATTTAGTTCAATTTGAGACCTATCAGTTGACTGAATTGCTAGAATTTATGTTCACTCCTCTATGCCTTCACAGAAGTTTGATTTATATCTGCTAAATTATTTTTCTCACTACGTGTGTTACTTGTAAGCATTTTGGCTGTAATTAATTTTATATACATTCTACAACTCCTATTATAACATATAACAAAATGCACTTATTAGATATTCACTGACTAGAAAGACGTTGCATATTAACAATTATTGCATTAACAAGTATATATGTCTCTATATGACAAACATTTAAGATCAATAAGTTTTAAGTAACACCTTTGTGTAAATCTTCATGTATTCTGAATCCATGATGGATGTTTAAGACTAATTTTGCCTTAAATGAAATATTAAATATTAGTACAGAATAAAAGTATAGTTGCCTCTTATAGATGATAATATTGTAAAGTAGTAAATATGACTACTTTTCATATTTTATCTGCTCCAAAGTGCAAAATCAAAGAATGATAGATAAATATTTATCACATTAATTTTAAGAAAATTATGCTTGCACACTGAATTTGCAAAATATAGAAAGTATAATTTCGAAACAGCAAAACAATAAAATCAATATGCTTCTCTATGACATATATCTTTAGGTAGTTTTATAAAAACAATAAACATCCGTATGGTTTCCATGACATGTTCTCAAGAAACAATTCACATTATCTACTTACTGATACATTCCGGTAAAGGTTTATCCCATTGTCCATTTGGTTGACATATCAAAACTGAAGATCCAAATAAAAAATATCCAGGATTGCAGTCATAGAATACCACAGTGCCATAAGTAAAATTTCCATGTTCTATTTTACTTTCTCTCTTAGAATTGGCTGGAATTCCAGGATCAGAACAGTTGACCACTAAACAAATGACAAATTTTGAAACGTACGTTTGCAACAATATACATATACCTATATAGATTTATATTAGAAATGTAAATACTTAGTTTCAAAAGTAAATTTATTCAAACAACCAGATTCCAAAAATAAAATTAATCCCATAGATTATCTAGAAAATGGACTGAAATTTATGTAGTAGGAAATACAGAAGAAAGAAAAAAATTTGGCAACAATTAGGAAAATAGCAACTTTGTAAGTATTGTACTGAGTACGAATTTAAAAAATGATATCTTTTAAGCTATAGTTGAACTGTAAGAAAATAACATGCAGGAAAATGATAATTTGGTTGTATTTTTTCAGAAAATATGAAATATACTTATTTGCAAACTGGAAAAACATCAGAGAGTTCTCCTTAATCTGTTTCTATAGATTAAAAAATGAATAAAGCCTCAATACAGGACTAATGACAATCCAGGCCCATATATAGTTTTCAGAAAAATAAAAAGAAAATAAATGCCAAAGGTAAATTCCACTAATTATGAAGCACATTGCAAGTAAAAATAATCTCAATTACGTTTTATATGCAGTCACAAAATAGATACAAATAAAGTTAGAAATTAACTCTACCACTTTTAACTTTTAAAAATATGTAATAAATTTAGAAAAAGGAAAGCATTGTTAATGAGATGACATCAGTATTAAAGCTTTTTGTTTTATTAGATAAAAACTTTTTGCTATTCTGCTTAAGCTGTTTTAAGTGTATCACTGATGTTTATGTGAACATTATTACCATGTCCGAAATGGGAATATACTTAGACATTTACCTTTGCACACAGGTGGAGGATGGCTCCACTGTCTGTTGGCCTGGCACTGTGCCTTTGTTGGCCCTTGCATAAGATATCCAATATTGCATGAGAATGTTACCACATCATTAAAGTTGAACCCATTTCCACTTGTTCTTCCATAAATTGGACTACCAGGGTGACCACAGCTAACAGCTAATATGATGTGGTGGGAGGACAGGGAAGGAAACACAGAAAAAAAAATAGTTATCAGTTATTGCATTATTGATTATACTTAATCCTTTCAAACAAAGTAGAAAGAAGACTACTTTTATCTGGAAATATATGGAAAGTAGATTTACTAACGTAAATGAACAAAGTAGAATGTGAAAATAGTCTAACAGCATTATTATATTAGTAAATAGATAATTATTTAAAATTTGATAATTTTATGCAAGTGGCACATAGGTATTTTAAGTTTCATGGTACCTATTTCATCCTTTCTCTCTACATTTTTGAGGAGGCAAAGAGCAGAGCATTGAAATGCAAAGAAATCTGGGGAATAATTAAAGTTCATGTCCATAACCAATAGCAGAAAAGAACAAAACTGGCCAGGTGTGGTGACTCATGCCTATAATCCCAGTGCTTTTGGAGGCTGGGGTGGGAGGATTGCTTGAGGAGAAGAGTTAAGGCTGTAGTGAGCATGATCATAGCTATGTACATATATCATAGTGAGCTATGATCATGCCACTGCACTCCAGACTGGATGACAGAATGAGATCTTGTGCTTAAAAAAACAAAGTTAAAAAATAGAAAAGAACAAAACTGAACCAGTTTTCCTTGTCTAGTTAATAATTGAGGATATTTAAAGGCAGTTTTTTGCATTTAATTTTGAAATAGTTCTTTTAATATTATTTATACAACCAATTTTTATGAATGATATATTGATAAAGCAAATGTGTGCTTGCGAAGTAAATTAATGTGACTACATAATGTAGAAAATAGAAAATGATACACAAAGGCTGCATTAGGATTTTCGTTAATATTTTGAGACATTCTCAAAATATTCTCTAAAACAATCAATCTTACTGGTTTCTTTCCTTCATCATTGATACTTGATAATATAATTTTTCTTGGAAATAATATTCTTAATTAGATAAATTATTTAGGTTCTTTTAATGCTGTGTCCCACTATAAATTTTACATAGTGCTGGCTTTCCCCGAACACTATTTCCATGAACTGTTTTATTGCATTATCTCACTCTATTAATCAGAGCAAATTCAGTAATAGCGCTTCCTAATTGGGCACAGGAAACGACCACAGTCACTTTTAGTACTTAGGAAATGACCCAAGAACGATTATTTTTCAGCTGTATTGTTAATGTCAACCTACTCATTTGGAAATTTAACTGCATCTTATTCTTGTTTAAAATTATCAATAAAGAAACCAGCTTTACCCTAAGGGCCAATTCTCATTTATAGCCTCAATTATTCAACAAGAAAAACAGTGGTATTAATTGACTATGCTTGAATATAAATGAAAAAGAACATATCTAGAGTAGACACAAGCAGGATATTGCTGTCTTTAAATCACCAGACAATCAATCTGTGTGTGGGGGTGTATGGGTGTGTCTTAGGAAAGTGACTTTCATTGTTAACTAGATATTCTATTATCCTATGATCATAACCATGAAACTTGAATTTCTATACATTTCTGTGGATTGGATCAAAACAGTATAATAACTGAATTTATAAGTATAGATGCAATTGGTCACACATTAAATGAAATATTTCCTGTGAACGTATACTAAAAGTCCTATGTATTGTTTATCTGACACTTCCAAAATCTTTATCCTATGATCCTGTTATAATTACAACATATTTACAGTACTTATTTACTGATAATAATTTTAATATAAATGTCAGTATCTGGAGATGGAAATTATCAGGAGAAAAATATAAGAAAAATGTAGTTGACTTAAGATCCAAAGTAGGATAGATTGTGATCTGAAACACTAAATACTTCTGGGGATTCTGAGATGTACTACAGTTATCATTATTCAGCTCTATTTTTATTTTCATGATATAGCAGTCATAATAAGTGCACAATGGCCAAATTCACAACGTACATATAGGAAGAGATCCATTAAAACCACAAAGCACAGCAGGTATACTTAAGAAATTATAATAAAAAGATATTATTTCAAAATATACTTTATTCTTCATGTGTGAATTCATATCTAATTACCCTAAAAGATCACATGGATATATGTTGAACTGGTGAGATCTTTTTAAAATAATTCTAAAGTTACATATATTCATATGTTTTGTACAAATTTTAAAATACTGTAAACAGTGCTTTAAAATAAATTTTTATTTTTTTTTTCTTATCTGCTTTTTAAAAAAATTATTTCAATAGTTTTTGAGGAACGGGTGGTGTTTAGTTGCATGGATAAGTTCTTTAGTGGTGACTTCTGAGATTTTGGTGTACCCATCACCTGAGCAGTGTACACTGTACCCAATGTGTAATCTCTTATCCATCACTCCCCTCCCACTTTCTCCCTAGTCCCCAGAGTTCATTATATCATTCACATGCCTTTGCATCCTCATAATTTTTAATTTTTTTCAGACAAAATATAACTATGTTACCTATGTGTAATCTTGATATATTTAAAAATGCAATGCATTTTGAGATTAAAAGATGACAATGATAAACATCTTTAAGCACATACTCTCTTTATAAGGGAATTAGGACCCAGAGAGATTAAACATTGCATTAGCACACATAATCATCAGAGGACCTGAAATGAGAGCAAAGGTTCTTCATGTCGTGCCTAATGATAATATTTTTCCCACTGTGCTTCATTAGTTTATAATTTTGATGTCATAGCAATAGCATCATAATTATTAGATAATATTTATCCAAAATATTTTCCACTATAAAAAGCTCTGTAGTATCACATCGTAGCAAACCTTGATACTGCTACACAGTGATCTCTAGAAATTTAAATCCTTATAATTACAAATGTGTTGAGAATGTATCTTCCATATAAGAATATTAATTTATCAATATCATACATTTATATTAAATATGAGAAGAGCTAAATTTAATTTATTGTCTTCCTGATAAAATATAACTGAAATTCTCTTGAACACTTTCCACTTTAAAGGTTTTTTGCATAGCAGTATCAAATTGGATTGTGGAAATTTACTTTATATTGATATATACAACAACATAATATATATATTCATCTTGCCTAACCAAAATTAGAATTGTTCCAAAGACCAGAGGTTCCTAATTGCTTTTGCCATGCTTACTTACGCACACAGGATGGGAGTTGACCAGACCAGTTGTGATCCTGTTGGCATATCCTCACTGAAGAACCAATCAATCGAAAACCAGGATTACATTGATATACAACTGTGTCTCTATATCCATAATTTTCTCCAATGACTTGACCATTCACAATCAGTTCTGGAGTTCCACAGTGACCCGCTGAAATGGGTTATGAAGCAATATTTTTAATACTGTGATTTGTTTTATTTGTATATTTATATACACGTGTAACATTAGTAAACTTTTAAAGATGACTTCAAAGCAAGTCACAAATAATTCAATTATAACTCTATGACATAAAGGTAACTATCGAACACTTAGCAAAACAACAAATATATGGAAATTAAAAGAAGACACATGTCTAGTGACACTTGGGTCTTGAAGAAATTATAAAATATCTCAAGGTGTAAAAATGAAAATATAGGCTGGGCGCCGTTGCTCACGCCTGTAATCCCAGCACTTTGGGAGGCCCACGCGGGCAGATCACGAGGTCAGGAGATGGAGACCATCCTGGCTAATGTGGTGAAACCTCGTCTCTACTAAAAATGCAAAAAAATTAGCCAGGTGTGGTGGCGGGCGCCTGTAGTCCCAGCTACTCGGGAGGCCGAGTCAGGAGAATGGCGTGAACCCGGGAGGCGGAGCTTGCAGTGAGCCGAGACCGCGCCACTGCACTCCAGCCTGGGCGACTGAGCCTCCATTTCAAAATGAAAATTTTTTTCATTTTCTCATTTTTTTGAAATGAGACTCCATTTCAAAAAATAAAAATAAAAATAAAAATAAAAAATATATATACACATATAAATTTGAAGGTACAGATAAAACATTACTTATTAATTCTTTATAAGTTTCAGTGATTTTAGTAGAAGGAATACAGATATATAAGCAATGACGTAAAACATGTTAAGAAGAAGCAGCAAGGAGCAAAATGACGTAAAAGTAAAGCCAAAGTAAGTAGACAGAAGTAAATATTTAAGATAATTACAAACAACAGAGAACATTAACTAAGGTAAAATTTCTTTCTCTAAAAATAAGCAACAAAATTATTAAACTCTTAGCTAACCCTATTAACACCAAAATGAAGAGAATAAAATTGTCAATAACAGGAATGAATGAAGTGATATCACTATAAACCCTCAAGAAATTGAAAGAATAAGGGAATGCTAAAAACAGCTTTATGCCAATACATTTTAACACTTCAGAAAAAATGAAAACGTTCTGTGAAAATTATAACTTGCCCCAAAACTAACACAAGATAAAAATAGAAAACTATTAATAGCTTTTATCTATTAAAATACTTGAACAAAACTCTTCCCACAGATTTTTTTTTTTTTTTTTTCTGGGAAATTCAAGCTTTTAAGGGGGAAAATAAGTGTTATGTAAACTCTTCTAGAAAACAGAAAAGAAAAAAAAAAATCACCTTTTAACTTATTTTATGAAGTAACCATTAACCCCATCAGTAAAGCCTGAAAAAAGAAAATTTAAAAGGACCAAAGTCCTTAAATAATTATAAAGGACCAAAGTACTTCATAAACAGAGATACAAATCTCCTTAACAAAATTTTATAAAATCAGTCTAGTGACATATAAATGATAATACATAATGACTATCTGGGATTTACCCAGAAATGAAATTTGGCTAAATATGAAAAATTAACCACTGTAATTTTGACATAATAAAAGAGAAAAAATTCTATGTAATTATTTCAATCGACGTAGAAAAAGCATATAGGAAAATGCAGTGCCTATTCATGATAAAAAAAAAAAAAGGCAACAAATTAGGAATATAGGGAACATTGTTAACCCAATAAAGAAAAAAAAAAAAAAAAAAAAAAAAAACCTCCAGTGCAATACTTTAATAAAAAGACGAAAAACAGCATAATGTTGGGAAACAAAATAGTGAAACTATTCTATACTCAGGTAATATTTAGAAAATTGTATTTTTAAAATAAACTAGTAAGTGAATTTAGAAAGGTTGTAGAATATTAGATAAATATTTTGAATAATTGTATTTTATATGCTAACAGCAAACAATTGGAGAATGTAATTTAGATAAACAACTTTAGTTGGGCACAGTGGCTTATGACTATAATTCCAGCACTTTGGGAGTCTGAAGCAGGAGGATCATTTGAGGTCACAATTTCAAGACCAGACTGGGCAACATAGCAAGACCCTATCTAAAAAATAAAAAAAAGAAAAATTTTACTTTTTACTTATAATAGTAAAACATTCTGGGGAATAAAAAAAAAAATAGCACATTGTACGCTAAAAATACAAAATGTTGCTATTTAAAAAAAAAAAAAAAAAGTAAAGACCCAAACAAATGTACTATGTTCATGGATCAGAAAAAAAAAAAAAAAAAGATGCCAATTTTCCCCCAACTGATGTATGGATTCAATCCCGCCAGAATTTCTTTGTAGAGTTTGATAAACTAATTCTAAGATTTATATTGAAACTGAAAAGTATTATAGTATCCAAAGTGATTTTGAAAATTATGAACAAATTTAGAGGATTTACATACATCATTTCAATAATTATTATCAAGTTTTTTCAACAAATAGTGCAAGATACAAGGAGCAAGTAAAAAAGCCCCTCAATGCTACTACATAACACATGCAAATTAAAAATAATATTGGCGATACAAAAGTTAAAGCTAAAACTATAAAGCTTCTAGGATAAAGAGAAAGTAAAACAAACAGACTTTACCAAACTTGAAAATGTTTGTTGTCAAAAGATGCTATTAAAAAATGAATAGGCAAGTCACAGAATAAGATAAATTACTTATAAAACACATAATGATGAAGGGCTTGTAACAAGAATATGTACAGAACTCCTACAATTCATAGTAAAAAGGCAAGTTAATATAAGATACTTTACCACTTCACAAAGGAAAATTTACAAATAGCCAATAAGCCTATGAAAAGCTGTGCTTAACATTAGTATTCACTAAGACAAAAAAATACTAAAATACCATAGGATACCTTTATGCATCCCACAGAATGGATAGAATGAAAAAGTTGGCTACATCACATGCTGGAGAGAATGGGAGACAACTAGAACTCTCCCACATGTATTCTATCCCTGAGTATTCAAGAGAAATGAATGCATATGTCCAGAAAAAGACTTTTACATGAGCATTCATAGCAGCTTTATTCATAATAGAAAAAAACTGGACATAGTTCATACATCCATCAAAAACAAAATGGCTGAAGTGTGACGTATTTGTACAATTGAATCCTATTGAGCAACAAAAGGAACAAATTACAGATATGCACAACAGCATAGAGGAAAGAGAATAAAAGAAGCCTTATACAAAACAGGGCACAATTTGCAATTCAATTTAATTAATGTCTAGAACAGGGAAAACTAATATATGGTGAAAATATCAAAATAGTTACTGCCTCAGGTTAAGGAGGAGGAGAGTTGCACAGTGACCATGAAGGGGCATAAGAAAACTTTCTGAGGTAATGGCAATATTCTATGTCTTTACAGTAGTTTAGTTACATGCATGTATACATTTATCAAAACTAATCTAACTGAATTTAAGGTCTATGTACTTTACTATATATAAATTTTGCCAGAGTTAAAAAAAAAAAAAAAACAACTTTGAACAAATATTGAACTCTAGCTAATGGTATGCAAAAAAAAAAAAAAAACGACAAAGTATACTGATGTTTACAAGTTATTTCAAAATTCATCAAAAAATAAATTAATGGAATGATGGAGGCCTAGAAATATGGATAGATATATGATAAGCAAATAAGAAAAAATATTCATTGTAGAATTAGGTGGTAGGCATATGGGTGTTCACTGTCAATTCCTTTAATTGAAAACTTCATAATAAAATATTAGGGAGGCAGGAATAAATGCACTGTACTTAGAGAAACAATAAGCACATTCTCATGGCCATTCTAAGCTAAAAGTGTCTGGGGTTACAGAAACTAGTTGAGAAGAATGGATCCTTACGCTCAATTTACAGTGTACTATTCTAGGATTTACTTGTCTGGTAACTATAGTTTCCTCTTACCAACATCCTTTTGCATTTCATTGTATATCAACACTATATTCTCTACAATGGATGATCTTGTCTTCTTAGACTAAGAGGCAATATTTTCTTATAAATATTCTTGTTATGCCCTGTCTTTCCAGAGAACAGAATCAAGATTCTAAGTAGGAGAATAAAACCACATAGTATATACAATATTAAATAATATATAATACATAGTAACAATTCATGAGAGCATATAGCCATAAAATATAGTATTTTCAAATTTATATGTATATTTTAAATACTTTTAAAATTTAGTTTTATTTTAACTATATTTTAAATATAGTTCATTTTAAATATTTTAATATATCTTTAAATATTTTAAACATAGTATTTAAATTATATCTCATTTAAATATAGTATTTAAAATATATATTTATTTATAAATGTATACTTATTTAAAGATACATGTAATATATAATTTAAATACTGAAGAGTATGTGTAAATATATATTTATTTATGTATAACTATGTATAAATTTAAAACTTTATATGTAAACTAAGTTTACTTAAAAATGCATAAGTAAACTAAGTAATCTGTAATTAAAATTAGTACAACCAAAATCAGTCTAAAAACTATTAAGATTTTTTAGTTTTTTGAGTTTGTATTTGATTATATAATCACATATTAATACATAATCATTTAACTCATTAACTATTTTCTGTTTTTTTCAATAGTCATTGCAGAAAATAAGTGGCCTCATCCATCTGCCCAATCTTGACCAGTGGGAGACACCATGACTCCTAGCCTCACTGCTCTGCTCTGTCTAGGTGAGACTTAAAGAGGAAGAGGAAAGACCCTAGTCTGAGAGGAACTCCATCTCATAGCCAGGGCCTGGTGCATTAACGACCCCAGGGGCTCAGGAGTTCCCTGTGTATATTCAAGTATGTGTGTTCTTATAAAGAAATTGTTTCTGGGCTTCCAAGTACAACTACTAACAAATGTGCCCGAGAAGGGGAAAAAAGACACTTTAACAAAAACTTGTAACTATACCATTTGAAATTTCAAATAATAAAAAAATTTCTATGAATATTTTCAAGCTTATTAGCCACACAATATGTAAGTATAGACTTTCCTGCCATGTGTCATATTCTTAAACAGTAACATTTTAAATACAAAAACACTGACAAATTTTGCAGTACTCTATTCATGATAATCAGCAATTTTTAAATTAGTAAACAAAAAGATCTTGCCTTGCTTCCAACAGCTAAGTGAATAATTATTAGAAAAATTTTCATTATTACCTAATTTAATATTTGCTTTCAGATCTTGAAATAATTTTAGAGAAAATAAAGCATAAATAGCATAAAGCATACTATTTTTAATATTAGATAAATTGTTGAAATCTTTGAAAAAGGAGACAAAGCATTCAAAAGAGGCAAGGTAAGAAGAATGAACTAGTTCAGTTTCTTTAACTGAAGATTTTTTATAATAAATTCAGGGAATTCTAAGGGGAAAACATCCTAATTGTCTAAAATCAGGTTCAAAAAATATATTTTTAAAATTTTAATAGAAATTAGTTTTACGCATGTTGAAATCTTATGAAATAAAAAGGGAGAAAGGTGCTTAAATGTAGACATTACATTGTTTATCTTCTTCAGTCATTACCTTAAGCAAATAGGTGAAAGGAGATTTGACTATGGTTTAGAATGAGTTAATAGCTACAGCGATTAACCCAGCTGAGTAAGCAGGCATACAATTTTCAGCAATTAGTTTTCACCATTATATTTTCACCATGACTGGAAGAAAATGTGTCTCTCCTTAGATTTCACTAGGAATGCTATCTGATTATTCTGTTTAGTAGCTTTTCTATCATGAGCCATTTTTAAAGATAAGTATTTTCTGGTTTTTAACATCCTTACTGAATGAATATAAATTAGTATCTCATATTAGGGAAAAAGAGATGCCTCCTTTCAAGGGTGAGGGGCAGGGGGAAGTTTGGTAAAAACAAATTAAAAATCTGTACCTAGGCATCTGGTTTCAGATCCACTCCAAAGACCTGAGGAAAGGCATTCCCTTACAGCAGAGCCCACAAGCATGAATCCCAAGTCGCAGGTAAAGATAGCTGTTGAGCCATATGAAGTTTGAGTTCCAATCTTATTTCCATTTGGAGGGGTAGGTAGTTCTCCACAGGAAATAACTTTAAAATGATAAATAAATAAAAACCCTTAAAGATATAGTCAAGCTGCACTTATAACAAAACTATGCTTTGAACATTTTGAGCTTCCTATGATTTAATGTATTTACAAAGGAAACTGGCATTTGTAAAACATGTTTGAATCAGTGTGAAAGTATGGAGAAAAGATGACATAATGTAAAATTTATCCTCTTTAAGTTTCCATAGAACCTTCTAAGTAACAGAGATATAAAGTTTTTTTTTTTTTTTGCTTGTTTGTTTTTGTTTTTGCTTTTGTTTTTTGCATTTTTCTTTTAGTCAACCTCGCTATAGTGGACGAAAAACATCACAAGTTTAAAGAGATGATAATTCATTAATCTAAAATCTTTCTCTGACTTATCAAGTAACTTTGGGCAAGCCCTTTGACTTACCTGAGCCAAAGTTTCTTCATATCTAAACCAACATTAAAATAATAATTATAATATAATTTTTGTCAAGAACTCTGTAGTTTGAGTTTTACATGTAAAGTATTTGATTTTCATGACATCCATTAGATATAATTCATCTTTTTTTTGTAAGTTATAAAAAAATTGAAGAAAATAAATTTAACAGGCTTGCCAGGTCATATAGCATCTCTTATGACTTCTTCACATTTGAAGACCACAAATTTTTATGTCATTCTAGCATAAAAACAAAACAGATCATGTTCATTGGGCACGTATTATATATTTGGTGCTATTATTAGTGTTTTCATTTGTGTAATGCTCAAAAAAACTGTCTAGGCTTTCAGTATTAAGTTTTAGATAGCTGTCAGGTAGAGAATTAGAAAACTTGCAAACTTTCAAGAGTTGCATATCAAATTTAAAATGTACTAAAGGTTTTGAGCTTATCCCCCCAAAAAATCATTTGAGGTGGATATTAATATTATGATATACTAATATTATTATTAATTCTAATATTTATATTATTTTCATTTTAAAGATGATTAAATGGAAGACTGGAGAAAAAATACTATTCTTTTATTTTTCTCAACTAATTGCAATTCCTAAATCCCTTGCCATTCCCTCATTCTTACCTGTAGGCAGTAATCCAATCTTACTTATCATTTAAACCATTCTACATAATAAAGAATCTAACACAATAGAACGAGACAAATATTTGTTGAAAGCTGATTAAATTAGTGTTTCTGTTGTAGATAATAATTACCTAGCTCTGAAATATTCCTATCCACGTGCCCTTTAAAAACAAATTATTCTTTTTAAACAATAATTTGGAAAAACAAGGAGTCTGCAGTCAGAGAAAACTTGGAGGACTAATCCAAAAATTTAGAAATACAGCCTGTGTGCAGTGGATCATGCCTATAATCTCAGCACTTTGGAAGGCTGAGGAGGGCAGATCACTTAAGGTCAGGAGTTCCAGACCAGCCTGGCCAACATGGTGAAACTCCGTCTCCACTGAAAATACAGAAAAAAATAGCCAGGCGTGGTGGTGGGCATCTGTAATCACAGCTACTGCAGAGGCTGACAGAATTGCTTGAACCTGGGAGGCAGAGGTTGCAGTGAGCCAAAATCGCGCCACTGCACTTCAGCCTGGGAAACACAACAAGACTCTTTCTTGAAAAAAAGAACAAAAAATAGAAATACGGATGATGGCATACTTTTACAATATTAAAAAAAAAATTGAAATATATTTCAATACTTTAATTCATTAATATGATTATCTTGGAACACAGGGCAACCAAAAAAGTCTATACTATAGAGATTCAATTCTATAGAGATTCAAAAAATAAATTTCAAATCAGTGAATATTCATAAATAAAATAATATCAGATACTTGTGTACTTATTACACATAACATAGTTGTCTGCTATGTTAAACTTCTTAATCATAATAACCCTATGTAGACTTTTGACCTCTCTATTAGTTTGTTTATAAATCATGGGTCTCTAAACAACATACACCATAGAGTTGTGTTAGACACTAATTAAAAGGCTGAATTTTCATCTAGCATATTTCTTGAATCAAAATAGACAATAAATAAAAGTAAGAAAGGGAGTTCAAGGTATTTCACCTGAATATCCTATGTTCTGTTAGCTTATGTATATTAGATATTGGCCATTTATATTATTAAAATGTATGGAAATAAAATGCCTTAACTGCTCAATTTGATTCAATAGTATTTACTGAGGATGTGGTTATAGCTGGTATTTCAATTGTGTCATACCATTAAATGTTTGCAGTAACTCTACACAACAGGTGTCATAATTTTCTAGTTTTAAGATTTTCTAGTTTTAGAATTTGGAATCAGAGAAAATAAACATGATATAACATGATAAAAAGTCAAGGGTTTTAGTCAGACTACTTGGTCAAATATCATTTCTCTATCATTTATAAGCTCCGTGACTTTAATAGAATGATTACATCTGGGGCAAAGGCGTTTTTTTTTTGTTTTTTGTTTTTTGTTTTTTGTTTTTAAACCAAATGAGTATAAAACATGTAAAGGACTAAAAGCAGTGTCTGTCAAGTAGTGAGTAAACAGCACTTCATTGTTAAAGTAGGTAATAGATCTACAATTCAAACACTAGATTTCTTAATCGAAAGCCTATGCTTTTCTATTTGCTAGAAAAGCATTTACTAATACATAGAAACATAGCTAGAAAATTTAAAAACATAATGAGAATAAATGGCCATATTAGTAATGTCATCTAATTATTGATCTAGTGTGTTTGTAAAAGGAACTGATTCAAACAATTTGATAACCAAACATAGCTTATGAAATAAGTTTAGCAAAGTGTATACTTACTTTGGCAATATGGTCTTTCATTTCTCCAACTCCAAGTACCATTAGGAAGACATTCGATGGAAGCAGGACCTAGTCCATGATAACCAGGGTCACAGCTGAAAACTACCTTCGTTTTGTATTCATAATGGGAGCCATTCACAATTCGCCATCTTCCATGTTCCAAGGTAAAGGAATTGATGCTTGGACATGTAACAACTATACAAAAACCAAAGGGCTTATATAAGTGCTAACAAATCACTATATCTTAACATCTATGCCATTCTTTACATCTCCACTGCCTTAATTCGCTTACTATTGCATTATACAAAGTCCTCTAGCATTTGTTCTTTATTTCTTTTGCAAGTTGATATTTTCCATTCCCCTAGCTATATGGTATTGCCGGAAGTTCTTGAACACACTCAATGGTTTCACAATTCAGTCTTGTACTTATTATTCTACCTACTTAGAATCCCAATTGTTGGCTTACCTCTACTCCCTTATTTCTTTATAACTTTAGAAAAGACTATATTTTGAGGAAATTTTTTTGATGAGAATGGCCTTTTTATGCAAGAGTCCTGATATCAACTTTAGTTATTTTTTTACTTTTTCAAGGTAAGTAGAAGCCTTATTAGATATGTATTCTGAGAGTGCAAACAATTGAACAATCTTCAATTTAAATGAAATCACAGCTAAGTGGAAATGTTAGTACTAAATGGGAAAAAAATAACTGAAATATAGAGAAAATTCAATAATTTATTTAAATCAACATTTTCTATTTTTTTGCTACCAAATCTTTACCAGAATTAATGTCTTATCATTATGTAAACTTATTTTTTTAGTGAAGTAATAGCGACAGCAATAGGAACTCTTCTAAGTGTAAGTAACCGGAAGAATATCAACAAAAGTTTAAAGTTATGGATAATTTCTGCAACATTATTTAACCTTATAAAAATCAGAGTGGAATATGTCAAAGTATCATTTTATTAATACAATCTTTAAAAATTTTTCTCAAGGGATCATGTACTGAAAACACGTTGACTAAAGGATGACTTTTTAGAAAATAAAACTTTATTGTATAAAATAAAAGTGCCTTTTTTGACATAAGTATTCTGAGGTTTCCAAAAACGATTGAAAAGTCCTTGTACTTTCTTCTAGTACCTCATGGTACAAGATAGCTTACTTAACTTTTATTTCTGTCTTAGACATCACATTTCAGTTTAGGGATTGGTTTTTACAATTCTACAATACATAAAATTTCAGATCATATAAAACACCAAACGAAGAACAAGTGATGAAATTCCCTTGACACACATACCAACACAGCGAGGGGTCTTGTTATGATTGCTCCATGTTCCATCTGATTGGCATACAGCTGTGGTAAGTTCCTTGGATGATAATCGATATCCATCATTACAAAAATAAGTAACTCGCGTTCCTACCAAGTAGTCTGTTGTTAGTATTCCTCCATTTGTTGGAGCTTTAGGAATCCCACAGGAAATTGCTAGAATAAATACACACATGCAAAATCATATAAACAGAAAAATGTTTAATTTATTAGGTAAGTCTGCTGAACTGTAAAACATGCAAAACTAATGGGGATTTTTTTTTATTCCTCTGAAACAATCTCAGAATATCTCAAAGAAATACTCTGAACCATAAATTTTGAATAAGTTATTCCAAACTCTTATTTAGTAATGCTTACAAATGGATGAATCCATACATTGTTAATGCTTTATTTCTTGGTTTCTTACTTAGTTTCTGGTTATCATGTGTATGGTTATCAGCATTCGTATGGATTATATGAGAACGCAAGTTAGGTAAAGAGTATCTCTAATGCAAGCCCATGACTGGACCATCATATAGGAAGTTTGATTAATTCAATTTGACAGATAAATATTAAATATTTTAAAGAGAGTGGCAACCAATACGCATCATCATTTTGGCCAGGAATAAAACAAATAGATTTATTTTACCTGAAAGCTGTCTATTTCTGTCTTAGGAACAGCCAAAATGTATGTGCTGGGGCACCATCCACAAAGTATCGTGTATATTGGATATGTTTAATAAATACAAGGCCAGGACTTACTGTCTTAAAAACCTAGTTAGAATCTTCCTGAATTTCACTGATGTGTCTTAGATGTCTTGATTTTTATCTACAATACATTTGATTTAGGTGAAAATTAGTTTTACTATGATGTAATAATAATGTAAAATTTTATATTCGTTTAGTTTGTTGTATATAAGATATTTTATACCTTATAACTTTAAAAGACTACAGAAAAATCCCCTAAAATTGATTTTTTTTTTACCATTTTTGCCCTATAAGTACACAATTGGCATTTACAAAAAGAATTTTTTTTTTATCTTTCAAATAATATATACATATCTTTCAAAGTATATATTTGGTAGCAATACCTCAATTAAAGTCAGATATTTTTTCTTTCTTTTTCTTTTTTTTTTTTTTGGAGACAGGGGTCTCAATCTGTCACCTGGCTGGAGTGCAATTTTTTTTTTTTTTTACCCTAGTAGCTGGGACTACAGGTGCGTGCCACCATACCTGGCCAATTGTTTGTTTGAGACATGGTCCTACTCTTTTTCCCAGGCTGGAGTCGGTGGCGGGATCTTGGCTCACTGCAGCCTCCGCCTCCTGGGCTCAAGCAGTCCTCCTACCTTCAACCTCCTGAGTATCTAGGATCACAGGCACACACCACCAGGTCCAGCTAATATTTGTACTTTTTTGTAGACGCATGTTGGCCAGCCTGGTCTCAAACTCCTAGGCTCAAGCAGTCCAGCACCCTCTACCTTCCAAAGTTCTGGGATTACAGGCATGAACCACTGCACCTGGCCTATCTGTATCTTTATGTATCACACTCAGAGTACATATTTATACGTATCTCCACAGAAAGACTAATGTATTTGAATTTGACTGTCCTCCTAGAACCAACTGGAGTTATGTAATATCTGACATATGTATTGCATTATTGTTATGAAATAAGAAGGCTTCTGTATTATGAAAGATATCTAGCTTACAGGTTTCATACAAAGAATTACAGATTTGTATTTTCTCACATAACAGAAGAAATAAAGTACAGAAAGATATGAGTTTAGTTTAAATATTATAAATGCTGTGTACTGTTCACCCATCTTCCATTTCAACCAAAAATTGTTTCCACTTCTCTTATAAAATCTACCATTTTGCTGCTTAATTTTCATTAACCCATGTGAATTAAATATAAAATGAAAAATCTCAGTGAAATCTATACAAAATTGTCAAAACTGAATGGCAGAATCCCTACTGCTGAATAGCTGATCTTCTGTAATTTAGTAACCTGTAAATTATGAACAGAAAAGCTGTAATGCTGACTTAAATTGTATATGCAATCTCATGTAATTATGTTATTATCCCTGCTTTCTAATTACGGAACCTCTAAAATAGTGTTGAAAAGTAAATGGTTCCCTGATGTCTGTTAAAGCAGTGTTTACATTTTCACTTAGAACTTCTGGGAATTTCAAGTTGTTATACACAATCTCCCTGCCAAAGATCATGTATTTACTGATTTTTAAAAATTAACTATTCATTGTTGGTGTAGTATAGATTGAATCTAGGTCAAAGTAAAAAAAAGTATAGTTAAATAGTATAGATTCCACATATATGTTTAGTAAAACATGGTTTCATTTTAGAAGTAAAAAGAGACAACGTACCAAAATAATGGGACAATTCGTGTGCCTGTGGATAGCTTATAATTTAACTTCTCAACTAATTTTTTTTAAAAGAAGAAAAGAAAGAAAATAAATCCAGTTCAGAAGAAAAGTCATCATAATTGAGTGGTTGTAAAAGAGACTTGTCTATACAACTCTCAGGAAATCACAAATTAAAAGTGAGACAGAGAATACAAAGTGAGTTTCCACATCACACTACATAATACTTAATTGTATGCATGGGGATGGTTTAATCTTTGCGGGGGGGGGGGATCAATAAATGGTTGTTTGATGAGAACAAAAATAAATAAAACACCTGACCAAACCCAAATAGATACAGCTGACTAATTTTCTACCTTTATGCTCACATTGTGTAACTTTATAGCTCAAAAGTAAGGATGTATAAGAAGACCTAAGAGGCAAGAAAAAGAAAAAAGACTGAAAAATGCAAAATAAATTTGAAATAAAAGGTGCATTATGCAAATAGCTCTTCCAAATGACATGTAAACATTTCATTTCAATTAGTTATGTCCAAATAGAGGTCATATCCTATGAGTATTTTTTCATAATCTTTTTCTGTTTTAACAATTAGAAAAGATAAATTTTTGGAAATGGCTGCATGATTTACATATATTTTATCATTTTATTTTACCAAATATCTCATTTTTAAACTATATTTCAACTTTCCTATTCAAATTGTAAAATAATTTTAAATTAAGGACATCGAAAAAATGACTCCATATGTAAATTTCAATGAAATTATAGCACTAATTCTACAAAGCAATTTCAAATTTCAGAAAGCATGGGGTATTTTTATTTTACATGATAGTCAATTATTCTCACAAAATCTTTCTTAAGAATTATATATGTGCCACATAGAGGTGTGTATGTTTATGTGTGTATATAAATATAAATAAAAGTAACCTTTATGTAACTAAAATACAAAAGTTTAAAATTAAAAAAATAAAATTTGGAGCATTTTAATGGTTATTTAAAATATATATGAAATAAGCTTATTTTATATTGTTTAATTCTATTATGAAATTTGAGATCAAAATCCTTTCCCAAACTAATTCTGGGAAATTAGTTAATACTAAGAAACTATAAATACTCCTGCTATTCATTAGTCGAAGGAAAGCAGTTGTTTTAATACGTTATTAAAATGTATCTATTCCGCATGAAGTAAATGCCTTCAGTGTTGACAACCCATTAAGGTAATGGTGCTTCCCAGAATCCTAATAAGTGATTAATGTTTCCTTGCATCAACACAAGAAACAATAATTCTTTCATTTTGAATTTGTTTACATATGCCTCAGAAAGCTATCTTTTTATGAATTACAACTTGCACTCTAATAGGTAAAAGAAGCCATTTCAAGTGTCTGGTAATACCTATTCCTTAGTCAATTTTAACTTGCTACTGGTTGATTTTAAATTTTAATTACCTATCTTACTTTTTTTGTTTTTTATAAATGCCCACCAAAAAATAGCTAATAAGACTTCTTATTTATTAACCTAGAATATCCTGCATTTTTTCATGTGAGAGTTCAAAGTTGCTATCTGTATATTTACATGATGAGTAGAGTTAAATAAAATACAAAATTAATTTTCATCTTGATAAAATAATGTAATGAATTAAGTATTTTAAAATTTTCAAAGTCCAATGACATTAACTTTTCTATGTAACTGATGTTGAACTTGTCTTTATGACTATGGCTACCCTTAGGTAAGAAACTCAACTACTATTTAAAACAAGCCTTTTTTTTTTTTTTGAGGCCAAGTTTCGTTCTTGTTGCCCAAGCTGGAGTGCAATTGCAGTGTTGCAATCTCAGTTCACTGCAACCTCCGCCTCCTGGGTTGAAGTCATTCTCTGGCCTCAGCCTCCCATAAAAACAAGTCTTAATCAAAAACTCTAAAACATGCCATTTTTTTTATTAACAAGCTTGTTATTCTTTTTGTGGCATGATATAAAGCTCAGTGTTTTTTTTTTTGACAAAATACAAAGAAAAATAAAAAACGTATCTCTGATATCTCTATTGTGCTATCTGTACCACTGAAGAAAAAAATAACCAGGTGGTGGGTTACATTTTTCTTTTAAATTTGTTGCTGTGAGAAAAAAAATTGCATGCTAAGAGTGAAACTCAGTCTTCAGTGTACTTGCCCATTCTTATTCTCTATTACCTCTCTGTAGACTTCACACTAACTCAGTCTCCCTCTCTGTTTCAATAATTGTACGACAATAAAGTAACTGGAATGGAGGATGTATGAATACAGTATGCATACACGGGGAAAAAGTCAAGGCATATAAGTTGAATAACAATAATGAAGAATTATAGAACAGTATGTATCTTTCCCTTGGAATGTATCATTCTGCGATGTTATGCCTTGTTTTTAGGAAAGGGTTCACAATAGGCTTCCAAATATTTCTATTCTCAGAAATGTTAGTGATCCAAATAAAAAAGTTAAATGGTGCTAATCTCATATTAATGCTTTTGTTCATTTTGGCATAATATACTTCACCTTGACAGGCAGGAACCGGCGCATCCCATGCATGATACCCATAGGAAGACTTTCTGCACACAGCACTGCTTTTTCCAACAAGTCGGAATCCTCGATCACAGGCCCAACGGACCACACTGTTAAGCTGCCCACCTGTCTGACTGATAATATATCCATGAGGTGGGGATTCTGGTGTACTACAGTAGAAAGCTTTTCAAAAGAAAAAAAAATGCTGTTTAATTAATGACCCAGAAGTTATTACCCAAAGTGATAAATACCTATACAGTGACTAGTGCTTAAAAGTAGGTCAGTGGTCATCTATATAAATTTTAATTCATATGAACTTCATATTGTGCTCTATCCTCTTTTGAAAATAATCTACTGACATAACTTTTGGGAGACATAATTAACTCTGAGTTTTCTTCCAATTTATATTGTCACCTAAAATGTCTTCTGAATTGAAATGTATTTTCAAAACACCCTGGAGGTTCAAAAGCCCAACAAATATCTAAATGAATTTTGGAAACTGCATTTCCTGTCATTTGGGGGACCTAAATGCCACAGCCTTGGTAGCAGTATTTTAGAGCATGTCGTTTACATGTCACTTCAAAGTTATATCCAGACACCTCTATCATGTTAGGTCATATATTTCATTTTGGTTGATGTCTAAAATAATCCCCCCCATTCCATAATCCTCTTTCCCAGTCTATTAAAGGGTTTCCAATCTGTCAAGAGCGTTTACATATTATGATAGAAATTGCCAATAAAATAAAAAAGTTTTTCATCTCCTGATGTTTGAAATGCCAACAGATAATGTCAAATAGCTTTTTCATATATATGTACTTTTGAGAATATTCAGCATGGCAGGTTCCATTTACCTTTTGAAACTTTAGTGAATTCATCTGAGAAAAATGGGGCTTTGGGGGTAAATAGTAAGAAACAAATTGGACTTAGGATATATATGTCATAACCTGTCATTTCTAAAGGTAAAAATACATATTCAATATGTCAAGCTGTTCTTGGGGGCTAAAAGTGGTATTTGCATTATATTTATATCCAAGTTTGTCAGAAATAATAAGAACAAGGATTGGTCTATAACACGGTCAATCTAATGCTTATAATTGTTTAATTTGGGTAGTTTTCTTTTATATTATGTATCATGAATTTAATGTGCTGACTTTTAAATGCCCTATTTGGGCAAAACTTTAATAAAAAGACATTTACATTGTTCATATTACAGAAACATAAGCTCAATAATGAAAATTCTTCAAGATGACTGGTTATACCCTATATTTCTTTTCTTTTTCTTTCTTTCTTTTTTTTTTTTTTTTGAGAAGTTTTGCTCTTGTTGCCAAGCTGGAGTCCAATGGCGTGATCTCAGCTCGCTGCAACCCCCACCTCCTGGATTCAAGTGATTCTCCTGCCTCAACCTCCCTAGTAAGTGAGATTACAGGTGCCCACTACCACACCTAGCTAATTTTTTGTATTTTTAGTAGAGAGGAGGTTTCACTATGTTGGCCAGCCTGGTCTCGAACTCCTGACCTCAGACAATCCACCTGCCTCAGTTTCCCAAAGTGCTGGGATTACAGGCATGAGCCACCGTGCCTGGCCACATTTCAATTTTTTAAAACAATTCTACTTTGATTGCACAATAAATTATTTTCAACGTAATAGAAACTTATTGTAGGATACAATTATGTACATAGTAATAATATGCTGTCAGTGACAAGTTATTCTAATATGTAAAATACAAATTATTAATAAATTAAAATCAAACTATCATCTCAGAGTTTTAAAATCAAGGGAATTGAACAGAATTATTCTGTTCATACATTTTATATGTAGTTGTAAATTTGTATAAATGAGTAAAATTCAAGAGTATACTTTTTAGAACTGAAATTCAGAATTTATCTGTCTATGCCCAGAATCATAGTGTCAGAGTTGTTTATAAAACATTTATAAAAGCAATTTTCAGTTGTACTGATTACCAATGACACATGATTTGGGAGGCACTGTGTGAACATGGTATAGAAAGAGACAGCTGACTGATTCCGAGGGATTCTGCTATTGAGCACATATCCATGGCCTCTGACATGATTTAGAATGGTCTCTGACATGATTTAGAAGGGCATTTAACAAAAGGAACATAACCTTCACATAATGGAGGACTACTTATGTACATTTACTCAACAAGAAATTCCTTATTGGTTCAGTATGAGTAGACCTTATAAACAGGAAGACATAGAAAAATCTATGTCATCTTGGTATTAAAAAGAATTTCCAGCCTACATCTTTCTAAATATTGTGCAAGGAAAAGCAGTAGTGACAAAACATTTCTGTTTTTTAAAAACTGAAGGCTTGTAAATGATGTGTTTGTTACCCTCTCTTTCAATATTTAAGATATTTTAACAAGTATCACAAATAGATGGATAAAAATTAAAACAAATATTTTGACCACTGTATGTTTATCCTCTGTTTAAACCTGTAATTTAAAGGAGTTATTAAATAGTTCAGATAACACACAGCTGAGCAACACTATTAATATTTTTTGTCAGTTCAAGGAAAACAAACCTTTTTTTTAAGTATTAAAAATTGCAGTTTAATTTATAACTGACTTATATAAGTTATAAGTATCCTAAATGCTTTTAATATTTTACAAAATTATATGAGGGATGTAGAATTATTATCATTACAATAGGAAATAGAGAGGTTACGTAAATTGTCCAATAACCATCAATGGAGGAACTGTGATTTGAATTCATGACTGAGTAGTGTCTCTGCTCCTTAATCATAATCATACTGAAGATGCTAGTGAGATCTGTCCTGAAGTTAAAAGTTTTACATACCTATATATCTTATCCGAAATCCTTTTTTGTTATTGCCATGATCTGCTGACCACTGAAGAAATACTTCATGACCGTTGCTTGTTATGTTAAAAGCAGATGAATAATCCCCACTGAGGGAAATAAGCACTGGACTTTGAATATTTGGTCCTTTGGGAAAATAATGAAACAATTTAGATAAAACTAATTATATTCTCATTCATCTTTAGTATTTTGTATCTTTAGAATAGTATTAAATATGGTTAAATTGCTTCACCATCAATCTACCTCATTAACAATAACTGAAACATAAAATGTTTGTTTTAAGCATTTTAATTCTATAGCTAAACAATGTATAATTTGTAAAATAATAATGGAGCTAACTATAATTTTCACATAGTATAGGAGGAAATTTAATGTTGATGCTTCTAAAAATATTTGTAAGATAAACTCACGGCCGGGCGCGGTGGCTCAAGCCTGTAATCCCAGCACTTTGGGAGGCCGAGACGGGCGGATCACGAGGTCAGGAGATCGAGACCATCCTGGCTAACACGGTGAAACCCCGTCTCTACTAAAAAATACAAAAAAGTAGCCGGGCGAGGTGGTGGCGCCTGTAGTCCCAGCTACTCGGGAGGCTGAGGCAGGAGAACGGCGTGAACCCGGGAGGCGGAGCTTGCAGTGAGCCGAGATCCGGCCACTGCACTCCAGCCTGGGCGATAGAGCGAGACTCCGTCTCAAAAATAAAAAAAAAAAAAAAGATAAACTCACATAAGCAGCTGTTTATACTCAAAGTTTACATGTATAATTAGAACATTTGGACTTAATTGATGAATATCCAAAAAATATAACCCTTAGTTACCATCATACACCTGAAGAACATCAAATTCCTTTTCTGTCTGGAAGAATTCTACAAATATGGTGATATTATAACCCTTTTCCACTGAAATGCTCCATGCACACATTTGAAGATTTGGGTAACTGTCAGGATATCCAGGGCTCAATATGACTCCAGTAGAATCTAGCCGTAATTCATTGGCAGGACAGAGCACTGTCAAAGAAAAATGCCATTAAATAGTGCTAGGTTTTTAAAGCCTCAGTGAAAACTGTATTTTAGATACTGAGTATTCTGCTTTCATGTTCAATAGCTATAAGGATGATACGTTGAATTATTTGTTAGAAGAGACAAGCTGTATTAAACTTATAATTCAAAAGCTGGAGGAATGACCTAAAAATTTATAGTATTGAATTATTTTTTTATTACATGGAAGATGTACCGCTTTCTGGACATAAACAAATACATAAATTTTTTTTAAGCCATTTAATTCCTCATGTTTCTTCACATTTTTCCCAACCTTTCCTAATCTTATGTTCTCCCACCTCTGCCTGTCTTATCTATGTCTTTGCCTTACGTCTTTCTTTCCTTACTTTTTAACTGACTCTCTTCTCTCTTAAAACTTCTACTCACTCAGGTGTGTGGGGTCAGAGAAACTGCCCTCTCTCAAAGTATTCATTTCAGGTAAAGTCATTTCTGATATTAGGGATATATTTACCATGACGATTTAACACAATTCTGGGTCACAGTTGCCTTTCAGCTCTTTACACCATCTCCAGGCCATAAATATAGCCCAAAGCACAAACTCATTTTATATATTAATAATCCCTCTGCTTTAACATCATATACATATATATACACATATATAAAAACACTTATAAAAACACAGAAAATGTGTTATATATTGACAAAACAACATAATTATGGTCTAACAGCCTGCAACATATAGCAAATTTTAGTTGTTGGCCTCAATTGCATTATGTATCAGACCAAAATTATGAACATCTACTTAAATTTGGATTTAGAATGAAGAGTATGACTAAGTTGATCCAGCCCTTTTTACTCAAATTATGCCATTTTAACCTCTTACAAATTTTTTTTTGAAGTTCTGTGGTGTGAAAAGAGTATTGGAATTATTTAGTATGGTCCATTGTGCAAAAGTAAACCAATATGCACCAAACAGGATTTACTTCAATATAAGGAAGAACTTTCTATTTGTCAGAATAGCATAATGGCCATAGGAAAATGTCTTATGAACATAATTGCTAACAAGTTTTAAACTTAGACTGCACTATCTGCTGAATGTTCTTACTAAGAACATTTAGACAACTGAACGAATGGGTAAACTAGATAATTTTTGATGATTTGGTTAATAGAAATACATCCCATGCCATTTCCTAATTCAACCACTATACCTTAACTTTCATTTTAGAGTTAAATAGCATTGTTTCTCAAAATAATTAGAGCAACATTTTAAGAAGAATTCCTGCTTTTCCATGTTTATTTGAATGAGTTAGGACCAAAAACTACTAATGTAGTTTCTGGAAAATAATAAATAGATGAAGAACTTATATATTCATAGTGTTCAGGGTACAAGGACAATTAAATATTTTGAGTTATAAAGTCTCCAACAAATATAGGGGTAGAAAAGAGTAAGTAACATAGTGGATTATGGAAGCTTATGATTGCTCTGTTAACATGTTAATAACTTGAAAAGAAAAGACTACTTGAAAACTGGCCAGAACTAATACATGACTTTTTGAAAACTGACTATATAATAGAGTTTAAAATATAGTATAGATAAAGCTAAGAGTTATTTTCTACTTTTTTTGGATATTACTTCAGTTCCTTCCGCTTCAACCCAGGATTTTCCTTCATGGATATAATTTTGAGATTAAAAATATTGAATAACTGGCATCAGGTCATTTGTTCTCCACCTAAAAAGAGAACTCTGACATTGCTTTTCAAAAAATTTAAAAACACATAAAAAAGAAAAAGATAAACCTGAAGACTGGAAACCATATGGAATATATGAGTCAAAGACAAAAAAGTAGTAAATATGTGGCTACGACAGATTGAAAATGAGTGGTATGATCCAATATACTTTACTACAAATACACAAATTAACATATTCTCACTAACATATAGCAAGAAGCTTGACAGTCACCTAGAATAACAGTAAATATTTGTTGATTGTAACTATATGCTAGACACTGTTAAACACCATTGGTACATTCTCTCTCTTATCACAACTTTAAAAATCTGTAGACTTTTTATCCCCATTGTAAATACGAGAAAACTGATGGCCAGAAAGTTTAAAGCGCTCAAAGTCTCCCAGATTCATTTGGAGCCAATGTTTTTAAACCAGAAAATGGAAGCATCCATTAGATTTCATTTACAACAAACTCTACAGAAAATCATATTTGGTATTATTTTCCATGTTTTAAGTGAGACACACAGAGCTACAGAGCATCTAAAGAAGAAGAGAGAACAAAAATGATACTGTTATGTTTTTAGGAAAAGACAAAAAAATTTTTTAATGGACTAAAAACGATGTAGATTAATTCTAGCCGATTCCAAATGACTGTCTTAGCAAGCTTGTGTAATAAACTCAACGAAGCAAAAATGTAAAGTCAGCTTTTTGGCTTAAATGCCTGGTGAACTAATTAATAGAGAAACTCTACATAAACTCATTCTAAAGGATGATTTATTAACTTAATTGGCTAGTATCTGAAGTGTTATCAGGGACAAAAATTTATTCTGTTTTCTATATTCTCCACAGCAGACAGAGTAAGTTCAATTACTAATTTACAGGAGATTCCGATTTGGGGAATAAGACATTGAAAGTCTGAGAGACAAAAAATTGTAAAATATCTAGCTTATCTGAATGTCATATTTACTTTAATTTTTATAAAATTTATTGAATTGGGATTCAGATATAAGAACAAGAAGCTTGCCCTCCAAGAGCTCACAATGTAGTTTTTATTGGGGTCAAGACAGAATGCAGTTATGCAATTGGCTCATTGACATATCCCATGTCTGCTCAACTTTTTTTCCCATGTATAAGCCCTCAAATGTTGAGCCTCTGTCTTCTCTATTTGTGTATCTAAATATCTGAATATGAAACCTACATAATTCTAAAGGTCTAGAGAGTAGCCTTACATGAAGGAAAAAGCTGAATGAATGACATCTAAATGTCTGGAATATATAAGTGATAGACTTCAGAATTCTCAACCAACTTCAAGATGTTCTAATAGCATTAAGACCATGAGAAATTCTCACACTGGCTCCAATTTATACCCTCAAACCTGCTTTTCTGCTTATCTTTTTGCTACCATCAAAGCCTCCTGTAATCTTTTTATCTTCTTGTAAAGCTTTCAATTATCATATGTTTAGAATAAAAATCAGAAGTTACATTAGACTTGTGATAGCAGCTAAGATACTGCACAGGAAACAGATTTCCAGTATTCTCAGGAATTAATCCCAAAGAAGGAATTAATCCAAAAAAAAAAGCTAGAAAGAATAATAAAATACAACTCAATTGTATTCAACTTAATCAACATTTATGATAATTGTGTGTTAGGCACTGTTCTGGGCCTAGGGGCTACACAAATGAACAGTAAACGTTTTTTGAACATCACAGCTTAGCATATCATTCAAGGTCTATCTTTGCCTTACTCTTTTAACACAGTGAATCGTTGAAGTCCATGCCCTGTTGTTTTTCACTTCTCTATCTTTGCATATGTATCTGCCACTTAGACCACCCTCTCTCTAGCTCTGTTCTACCAGAATAAGTCTCACTGTCATTTGGAACTGTGTCTCATGACTCAGGGAACAATGCTTCCATCAAGCTTTCCCTGCCCCACAAGTGGCTAAAAATTATATGAATCTACAGCTTCCTGGTCTCTTTCCCTAAACACTGTACTGCTATCCCCTGTATGACTGCCATAGTACCTTTCCATGACACATCCACAGCAAGGGCCACTTAAAATTTATTTATTTTTTTGTTACTTTGCTTGTTTATTTGCTTTTTTTCCTCAGATCCTCATTATATAACAGATACTCAGTAAAGTTTAATGAGTCTAGTGGTTAGAGCGGAAGCTCTTTCTAAGTAAAAGCAATCAACATTGAAACCTTTATTTTAAGTGATTTCCCTTTCTCTCCACCTCCATTCCCACCCCGAAGAGCAAAATAATTGGAGTAAGTTGAACGGACTTCATGCTAAACCAGAAAAATTTACCCTTGAAAGAATCAAAGATGTTTAGAGTTAAATCTGATGAACAGTGGATTATTTCTAAATGAAATAGCACATATGAGTTATAAAACTTATAGCATTGCTTCCAGTTAAATATTTCTTATTTATATAAACAGATTTTTCTCAGTCTTACCTATATTAAGTTAAACATAAAGCAAATATTTTAGAAATAGATAACCATAAGAACTACTGAATACCTTGACAAACTGGAGGTGCTCCATCCATCTGCAGTCGTTCTCCTAATCTGCACGTCAGAATTGCATTACCAACTAAAGTAAATCCTGGAAGACACTGATACCTAATAATATCACCTATTAAAAAAAAGAGGGGAGGTTTCATATAAGCAACAAGGTGATGATAAAAATAAACAAATATTTCAATTGTAAGAGAATATTTTCTCCTTTAGTTATTTTCAATCAGTATAAAAATGTTATTAGGTATAAGTAGGAGCTATATTCAAAATATTGAAAAACCAGTATATAATAGTCATTGACCAATGAGGACCAAAGGCAAAAGTGAACTGCCATTCCCTCTGTACTGGTGCATGCTGACTGGATATAAGCAATAGTCATAATGAAATAATTTAGTTGATATAGGTGAGATAGGCAACAAAAATACAGCAAGTAGTTAGAAGGCTTTCTATTTATTGCTTTTGTATCTGAATTAAAGTTACATCGGTCACTGATAGTTTCTTTGTGTGTTTCAACCAAAATCAATATAATAATAATAATGAATAATAAAAGTTTACTATGGCAACATTAAGATGTCTTCGTATATAATTTTTTTTCAAACTGTGTGGCATTAATTATTTGGGTTGAACTTCCAACTCAGTTTTAAACCAACTTTATGATTAAACTGAGTAGAATCGACTAAGCATTTTCCAAGATATGAAAATGAAATATGACTTCTAATATGCCCTACAAACCATTCATTCTGCCAAGTCAGGCATAGGTCTGAATTCAAAGAACTACAGTGTCAGAAGGCAGCAAAATAACAGTTTGGAAAGAACCATCAGAATAAAGTTAACGGGTTCAAATTTTAATACGTTTTCTAATTGTACATTCCAGAAAAACAAAATTACTTTTTCTTCTCTAATATTCCCTTTCCTCTTTTCACTCCTCTCCCTTCTTAAAAATTCTAAATAATCTCTATCAACACAGGGAATGAGGATCTCAAGTCAGGCTATTACTATTCTTTATTTTGGCTTATTTTTAAGCAAATAGTTCTGCCAGCAGTATGTTTTCCTTGAAAATAATTTAACAGCCTTTACCTATTTCAAATTCATCATCTTCCGTCAACATTTCAGCATTGGGTACAGGTGGTGGAGGTTGGCACACCCTTAGTTGATAGGCTATAAAAATAAACAATGTGTTTATTCCTTTTTTGAGCAGCTACATGTATTCACATATGCAAAAAAAAAGAAGAAAATTATCAAAGGTTGTTCAAAAAGAATAAAAATAAATTACATAATTTATCAAGTTTCAATTACATCTTTATTTTTAAAAATATACTACAACATTACAAAATATTTTCCCATGGTAACAATGCTTACTTTTTATTCCTTATTTCTTACCCTTATTCTAGTCCTTCTCGTTATGTGGTTCAAAACACTTTGTTTTTTTCCTCCTTTGCATGATCACAATTTGGAATCATGTATTCATGTTTGCTTACTTGCTCAATGCCTATCTTTCCCAATACACATCACTGAATCCCCTGAACTTACCCTTAGCAAAGTGCACGGCATACAGCAATAATTGCAAACAAATACTCAGTGTTTACTTTATTCCAGGCAATATTATAAATACTTAACTCAATCCTCGCAAAAAAAAAAAAAAAAAAAAAATACTTATATATTTTCCGATTATTTAATTTTTCCCATTCTTTAAAAAAGAAAACTGTTAAAGAGAGTTAAAAGTTTTCCCGAATCACGTAGCTATAACGTGACAGAGCTGAGGTTTGAACCTAGGTAGCCTAGCTCCAGAGCCTTGTCTCACCATGCTACTTTAATATAATTATAAGATGTCTGTTTGTCAAATGTCATGTTTCTAATTATTATATCATTTGAACGGGTCATCCCATTGGATTACATTGGCATTTGTAATCCGATTTGTAATTGAAAGGCCACCACGACAAAGTCTCTATGAATCCAAGCTTCATGCCTACTATCCCCACATGATATCTAAAATCTACAACAAAATCCTTTGCTTGATTGAAGTCTTTTTTTATCTTAAAGTCTTCCAAAAATGTACTATACTCATATTCATTCAGGAAACATGTTTTATACTATTATAACATCTGAGGCAAATTGTTTTATATGCCTATTTTTACTACTTAAACTTAGAAGTTCTTTATGTACTCAATGTGCCGATAAAGAGAATGAGACTCAAAAGACACAGTAGCTTACACAAGACCACACAAATAGTATAGGACATAGACAAAAATTGAAGTGTATATCGTCTAATTTCAAAGTGCATTCAACACTACTCCTATTGCAAAAAAAAAAAAAAAAAAAAGTATTATGTGAGCATTGAAGAGTATCAACTAGACCAGGTGAGGAAGATTCCTACAGTAGGAAAAGAATGAGATATACTTGAAAGAAGGAGTAAAATTTTTCCGATTCTGAAGAGTAATCCTGAGGAGAAGAGCATTTCAGGTGGAGGATAAAACTTGAACAAAAACTTGGGCAAAGCATAAAATCATTAGTTCATCATCATCCAACAAAAAGCTACTTATAAGAGATTAATAGGCTAATACATGTTCAGGTTACTAAGGATAAATAAAAGAAAAACTTTTCAAAATGTAGATCTAGAGAGATGAAACAAAAAATAAATGTGTTTTAATTTTCTTCTGCAAATTGTTATCTGTCCCTTCAAACATCTTCCTTCCAGTAGTTTAGCCTGTTTATAAAAGCACTTGTTGTGCATGGATGTTAATTTGCAAGTAAAACACCACTGTACAGAAGAGTTACTGCTAGAGAAGAAAGACTTGCTGGGAAAGAACTCCATAGCATAAAGTATAACCCAGATTTTTGATAAAATGTTTGGTGGATAGTAATTAGGAATTTTGAAAATTGTTTTCCTGAACTTATTACTTAAAGGGGGTACAGTGATAAAGGTAAAAGGTAATTGTAAGAAATGCCAAAAATGTAAGAGAAAAGGGAGAAGACATGGGGAGCCCTACACAGAGAAATCTTTCTGAGACTATGCTTTAGAGAAGAATTTGACTGGTCTTATCATAGAATAGAGATCAACTCAGAAATTACAGAAATGTAGAGATGCTCATGTCTGTATTATTTTGCTTGTGCTTTCCTGTGAAGTTATTTTAATCTTCATGCTAATCCCAAATTGTTTTATTATTTTAAATAAGAAACATTTTTTTATGTGGAATCCATGACTATTATCATCTGTGGAATATGCTGAGAATGACCTAGATAACTCAGTTGCAGGATTTAAAAGATCAAAGGTTGTAATTTTTTACTAAAGAAGACTATGATGCTCAGAGTTATTATGTTACTTTTCCAAGACCACGTGGGTGCTGTAAGCTAATGTCTTATTCTCTGTTCTTTCCTATCACTGTCAGTTTTATAAAATGTATCCCTAAAAGCTAAGGGATCACTGTCAGCCCATGGAGGGTCTGAGGTATAATTTCCTTACCTCCCAACTCTATTTCAACAAGAACAATTCTATTCTTATCAACTACAAATTTGAATTCTGAACAAACTTTCCTTTAAATAAACTTTCTACATTGTTACCTAAGTGATTCCCTTGATTCCTTTGGCTAAAATTCTGACTTTGTGTCTCAATTCCCAATTCTATATTGCCAGGCTAAAAATCTTTTGTGATCTCTTCACGCCTCCCTTTCCCACCCCTCACTGTTATTTTCTAATCACAGAACCCTTTTCGTGGCACATGTAAACATGATTTGTTCAAAGTGTGTTATTTTCCATTTATTTGCATACTTGTTCATTGGGTCCCTATGTAGACTTTCAGAGGCTATTTGTTTATCTACCTTTTTCACTATCCAGGAATTAGTTCTTGTCACTATACTTACAATTCAACTAATATTTGCTAATAACTGACAGAATGTAGGTTTCTTCAGGAGGGAAACAACCTCTCAACAGTCTTCCCTAAGATGACTCCCAACTTTAAAATTGCCAGTGGGGATGAAATAGAAACAACTGAGTGTCAGAGAATGCTACACATTGAAATATAGGCAAGATCTGGCTAAAATACTTTTCAAGGTTGAACTATGTAATTTTGAATAAATAGTGAAAGAGAAAGGAATAATGAAAAACAAACAAACAAACAAACCTCTTTTCATCTGTTTCTCTTTTGACTTTTGAAGGCCAAGCACTACAAAAGTTTCAATCGTAAGCAGCTCACAGAAATTCTGTTTTCAATCTTCATCAATCTCTATTAGTATGTTCTTTAACATAACTTTATGATTTGTCCTACGTCTTTCCAATCTTGCTACCAACATCTCAGTCTAGATTCCTGCCATTTCATTCCTGCTGTACTGGGTTGAATAGTTTCACCTAAAATTCATGCCTTTCCTGGAACCTAAAAATGTTATTTGAAATAGGATTGTTGAAGACGTAATTGGTTAACTTAAAGTTGTATAGAATTATGGGGGTAACCTTAATTCAATATGACTAGTGTCCTTATAAAATGAAAAGTGACACAGAGATGTTCACACAGGGAAGATGGTACATGATGATAAAGGCTCAAACTGTGGTGATTCATCTATAAGCTAAGGAATGCCAAAGATTGTTTTGAAGCCATCAGTTTGTGGTACTTTGTTTCAGCAGCCCAAGTAAACTAATACGCCTGTGTTATTAAATTGGCCTATAGTGTGTTCCTTACCTTCAGTGTCTCCCTGATACTACCCTTCTTACATTCACTTCACTAGATGTAAGGCAGTATTTATCTGGAATCCACTGTGTACAAAGGACTCTGAAAATTCCTTTACATGCCTCTTTCATTAATCAATAAAATGCCACATCAAAATATGTGTAAATTACTCATGTTACCAAAAGAGATACTAAATTTCATAATGGCTGAATTATTTGCCCAATTCACACAGCCAGAATTTGAACCAAGTTCCACTATAAAATTAAGACACATTGTCTCCCAGATTTATAGATAAATAAACCTCATTTGGAATATCATTTTGTCACTGCTATTTCCCTGTTATCAATTTGCAGCGTTTTTTTTTAATGGCCTACAGATTGATTTATCATCTTAGATAAAGCCAGATCGTTACCCTAATTCTCACCAATCCCTCACATGAGATGTCTACTATATCCGGCTGAACTTTCCTGGGTCCTTTGTATTTGCCACGTTCATTTCCTATCCCACACCTTCATTTTTGGCAATCTTGCCAGCCTAGAAATTGGCACAACAATATTTAGCATTTAGTGTTTTACTGTGTTGAATTGTTTTATGTATTGGTTCATGTTCCATGTATAGCTTAAGTATTTTGTATTGTATTTGCATTTCCTATAATACCTAACACATTTAATTAAGTTGTTTATTAAATAAGTTATTATTGAGCTCCTATGATGTACCAGATGTCAGAAACCATAATAGGTGCTGGGAATGCAAAGGTAAGCAAAGCAGACAGAAGCCTGCTCTATACATGCTAATAGTTGATGAGAAAGATATTAATTAATTAGTAGAATTTAACTAGTTGACGCAAGGGCTGTGTGTGTGTGTGTGTGTGTGTGTGTGTGTGTGTTTTCTGGAGAGGAATGATAGCCCTGGTGAGAGAGAGTGTGTGTGTGTGTGTGTGTAAATCAGGGGCTAAATCAGACAGGATTGTGCAAGTTATACTCAGGATTTCATTTATTTTAAGCTGGACCAATGGGAGGCCTTTAAAGAGATTTAAGTTGGAGAGGAATGTGGTCAGATTTATCCTTTAAAAGATCACTGTGGCTGTAGTCAGAAATTTTTGAAAAGCACACACACAATTGGAAGAGGACAAGAGTGGATAGCAAGAGACTACTAGAATCTATGTTGCAGTGGGTGTTAAATAAACAATTGCTGATAGAGTCTACAAAACTTCATAGTGTCCCCAAATGACTTATGCATTAAATTAAAAGTCTTGATTATGACCTCCAAGGATTTCTAACTTTGTCTAATTAACTTCATCTCCACCTATTAACCAGTTTATATTTTTAGCTACAAATAAACAAAAATAGTTTATCTCCTCTACTTAAAATTCAAGTACTACTGATAGGCATGTGGCCTATCATCCTCACTTCTTAAAAAATGTTAAACCACATCTCTTCATTTTTAATACTAAATTTCAAAAAATCAAACCTGTCTACAACCTCTTACTGTAGTCTTTTTC